CTCTTATACACATCTAGATGTGTATAAGAGACAGTGTGGGTGTTGGTGGGGTTATTAGGGGTTCTAGAATCAAAAAAAAAAAAAAAAAAAAAAAAAAAACTTTTTTTTGTGTTTTTTTTTATAGATAAAAAATAAAAAACCCAACACCTGAAGCATCTCCCATCTGCCCCCACATCCATTAACCCCCAATGCCCTAGTTATGTGTGTTTAGGTGTGTTGTGTGTTCGCGTATGTTTGTACGTGTGTGCCTGCGTGTGAGAGTGTGTATGTGCATGAATATGAATGTATACGCGTGTGTTTGTGTATGTGTGTGTTTGTAAGTGTGTGTGTGTGTGTGTGTGTATGTGTGTGTGTATGTGCATGATTGTTGGCGTAAGCGCCAGCGAGCTACAGGCTCCGCTATGGCTGCCTGCTCCTTCTTGCTCGTCCGTGAGCGCGTGAGTGTCTGCGAGCTACAGCGCGGCAACGCTTACACTGCATGGAGCCAGCACCCGAATGCCCAATGTGGAGGTTGGAGTGGCCTGCCTGTGTTCAGTCCCAGGAATCTTCCAATGGGGCCTGGTAGCCTGAGGCCCTGCACGAACGAGAACAGGCCTTGGGCCTGCGGTGGTTGCATGCCCCCAACTTCCAATATATGGCCCAATTTTTTGTGTGTGTGTGTCTCTTTTTTTCCTTTTTTTTATTTGCTTTTTACGGTTTTGATTTTTTTAAAAATACACGAAGTTTCAAAAACATAAAATAAAAAATAAATTGTTGTATATCTTTGAAAGATCTACAACCCTGTATTTTTTTTATTTTTTTTATTTTTTTTTTTCCTCTTAAAACATTTGTGTGAAACCCAAAACAAAAACACCCATTTCATTTTAGTTTTTATTTTTTCATTGTGTGTTTATGTTTTTTATTTTAAAAAAATATATTTAAACATAAAAAAATGTAAATACAAATACAGGGTTGTAGTCCTGAAAAAAACCTACAACCGCATATTTGTTTGTTTTTTTTTGGATAATTTTTAGCCCTGAAAAAACACCATCCCGGACCCCGTTAATTCGCGTCCAACTCGCGTTTGAATGGGAGTTTAACGGGAATTCAACGCTCGTTAAATTTTTCAACGGGGAACCCCTTTTGAATTCAAAATCGGACATAGGGGTTGAAACCAATACGCTCCATTGTTTTTTTTTTTATGTACTTCCTTCATATTCATTAACCGCATAAAATCGGAGTTATCTTAAACGAGCGAGTTTTGAAAAAACTCCATTACCTATGACATCTCTTCTTTACATTCATCGACCGCATTACCTGTGTTTTATGACATACTGTACTTATATTTATGACATTCCTCGCTATTAATCACACTTTCTTTAGATTCCTCGATCCATCAGTCGATTGAGAAATACAGATAGGGATCGATAGATAGATAGGGAAAGGGAGACGGAGAGAGAGAGAGAGAGAGAGAGAGAGAGAGAGAGAGAGAGAGAGAGAGAGAGAGAGAGA